TGGAATTGACACATATTCTACACTTCCATTGCTACATTGGGTTTAATTTTTCAGGGTCTGACAGACTAACTGTCGCCTCATTATACACAGAAAGTTCAGAAACCACACCCTGGTTTGCTTTCTTTACCGTTTCAGTGATATATTTATACGCGACTTTTAAAAGCTTTATATATTCGTGTATCACTGACCATTTCATCGAGAATTGAAACAGATATCGCTGACCAGAAATATGATGGTATTTATAACGATAAACACTATCTTAATGCCTGTTCCCGTTGCTGCCAAATGGTCACATAGATGTGCGTGCTACGTACGCTTGTAAAAGAGGACGACAGTACTATTAAAATAGATGATACACTCCTATAACCATCTAGTATTGGATAAATATTTATATTTATAAAAGACTGGATTCACAGCTGTTGAACGGCGGCAGAACTTGGTGTCTTTTATGTGCGCTTTATTCAACATGTGTCATTCCGTGCGAATTTCATAGTCTGTCACATTTTTGGTTGGTTTGTTGTTTAACGCCGTAACTCCGCAGTATTCCGTCTATATAGCGGTAGTCTGTACAAATTGAGTCTGGGCCCAAAAATCAAGTGACCAACAGTATGGGCATCAATCAACGCAATTGGGATACGATGACATATGTCAACCAAGTCAGCGAGCCTGACCACCCGATAGTCTGTCACAAAGACCCGGAAACAAACATCCACTTGCAAGATTGGAAAATTTGGGAGGTCTAGATTCTGAAAATGAAGGGCATAGGATAATGAAGGATACATAAGAATGGAGAAAGTACACAACCCTGTGGAACACCCGTAGACTTGCATAAATGAAACTAACAAGAACCGTTGACACAAAGGTGACATCTTCACAAGAAAATATTCAAACCACAAAATATTTTAGTTGATCGCCACATTCTTCATGCGCTTCTCCATTAACTGATGTTATTGAACGGTGGTAAATCCTGAGGAAAAAAAACACCAAAATGTGTTTCAAAATATGAATCAGTATTGTAACACCTCATTGTAGCTCTTAGGACAACACGAGGCGTAGTGGCAACAAAGAATGGTCGTCTTTATTGCTTGATGTACAACTTGTGGGGCAGGGCGAACAACTTGCACAATGTTTGCAGAGTCCAGCGGAGAGAAGGCGGCGAAGTGCTGCTGACACTTAGGCAGTAGATAGCTGCATTGACTGGTCAGTTCGTCCCTTCGAGTCCCTGGCTTGCCTTTCTTCTTGTTTGTGCGCGCTCTTCTCAGCGTCTTCCGTCTCTGTTCTACTCGCCCGTCCTGCCTGCTTTTAAAGGCAGATGAGCGACCGACAATCTGCATCAGATTGCAGTTCTTACGAACATAATCTGCGTACTTCGACAGTTCTCATGGACATATTGTGACTGGCTGTCTATTTGCTAACGAGCTTGACATGCATGTGTGTCCGACAAGTGTTACAGTATTTCGAACTACTTATATATAGTATTGAGACGAGTGGCAGCATCGTAATCCTCTCCTCGCCCTATAGGCAAACTGCAATGGACCAAGTATGTGCAGTAATTCCGCCAACAATATTTCTTGAGCAACACGTTAAAAACATTTCACAGCAATTGAAGTTAGAGAGACCGCGGGCTGTATAATCAGAGTGTACTTATGGATTTGTGTGTGTTTTCAGAAAGTGGTACAACGTTAGTATGCTCCATGTAAATCCGTTGATTTTCGACATAGTTTCTGAAAACATAACACGCACATTACTGACTCCGACACAATTTCAAAACTATGCTGATATTATTATCAGTATTTATTCCACTGATAGATGAGAAACGTTATTTGGAAAGAACTGGAAAACCGGTTCACGTTTTTCATTGAGGTCACTGTAATCTAATCAAGTATAAAACACGTTTACGTAACTTGCAAAAGATGGATTGCCATGTACATTTATTTCTTGCCGTTTCGTAACAGTTCCCAGCAGAGTCATGAATTTGAAGTTTCTCTATCTATGCTTTGCGTGCTTTGTTTTCAAGAAATCATGTTTTTTGTATTGCATTGTACGAGATACAGACAACATTTTCGTGCTGTGTGCATTCGACTGGACCTTATAAACTATATAAATTAGGATGTTTAAAAGATGGCACACGAACTCAGACTGGGAGCAGTTTGTCAACGTGTAAATACGTAGAACATTAAGAAATTGAAGATATCTTCAATCGTTTTAAAGATATATTCATTCTACTTAAAGATACCAATAGCATTTTAAGGAATTGGTGAATAATTAAGGTATATCTAATTAATTTATCATATCCAAAGTAGAATTAATGATATCATACTGAGTTATCTTAAACATATATTGTAACATCTCTCATGTGTTAAAGGAGAATACGAACGAAAACAAAACTTTTGATATATTGTTAAGGATATTCTAAAAGTCACATTCCGTGATTAAAATTGAACAAAAGTTTGTAAAATAGCAATAAAAACACAAAAACGTACTCGTATTTCCGCCTATTACGGAAACACCAGACAGTTAATGAGCAGAGGGGGTATCACGTGACATGACGTCATAAGTGCCTGTTGCTGATGGCTTTCTCTTTGATTTTACCTCACAACTTAACAGTGTCCGTGGATTCTGAAGCAGTAAAAGATGTTCCTGATGTCATTTCTGAAATGGATGTTAGACCGTATCAATACGATCCGATTTTACATCTTGCAAAACAGTCTTCCACTGAAGATGAAGAAGAAGAATCAAGCGAAACGGAGGCACCGCTTGAGGTAAAAATAAATAAAAAATAGACCATATCATTTAACAAGATTACTATTTGTCAGCAAAATGTCATACAGTTTCAGCCAGCAAACTCACCCCTATAAATATATGACCAGTCACTAAGAATTATTTTAAAAAAATGTGATTACAGTTCATTTTGTGTCAAATGGGTGACTGTAGGGTGTCTGGGATTTAAAAACAAAATAATTATGCTTCAGACGAGGGAAAATAAAAAAAGTATCTGCTTCAAAAATAACACTGGAATTATATTTTGTTGAAAAAAATTAGGATCCTAGTTCTCATTAATAACGTATCAAGTCTCGATACAAGATCCCAGCCTGGTCGAGCAGAGATAATATTCGCGACGCAGATAAGTTATTCCCCGAAAACTGGTGATTTATAAAATACTAGTCAGGACAAGTATGTTTCCCCATTGTTCTGGAAATAGTTATGGTACTCGGTCATAGCCTTAGAATGTCATCTTGTCAGCCAATGAGAATACAGAACAACTTTCACGGCACCTGATGGGGACAAAACAATGACCAATTCATGATTTGCCGCTGGGCAATGTTTCGAGTTACTGCATCGGGGCAATTCGACTGTGAAACCGGACTTGATAATTATATTTATGAACCAAAAATACCACTGACAGTAAGTTGTTACAGCATAGGAACTGATGGAGTATAAATGAATATTTCGATAAATGGATACTATTTTCCTTCTTCAGCCTATGCATTTATGGGATTTCCATTTTAAATAAATACCCCATGCGTGCATGCTCATTTTGTCATATGCGTCCGACTCAGGGAATGATCGGTATAAATGCATTTCTTCCTGAGGCCGTGAAATCTCCGTCATTTCACTTGGAAAACGGAAGAAATGGTGTCTCTTTCCATTGTTCGATGATGCCGTGCATCTCCAGGCAACGCAATACACCATCGTACCATTTAAAAAAACGACAGAAACAACACGATTTGTACTACTGAAGCGCTTGGTCTTTGGCAATATGGCGGACTCCAGGCACATTTGACGTCACGAGCTGAAAGGTCACGTGGGTTCCAGCGAAATATGCATAAAGGCTGAAGCTGAGAACTTACAGAAACTGTTTTCGCGATTAAAACATAATTATACATAATTTTTAATTGAAAATTAGGGAATATGTTTCTGATAACTTTATCTTTCACCAAGCAAATTATTGCAATTCACTCGTATTCTCCTTTAAGATGTCAATTTAAGCCAAGTACGATCATATTGTACATAATTATATTATAAATGAATTTAATATATCTTCAGTTCGGTTCAAGATATCTTGATATAATTAACCATATCCACAAACGAATAAAGGATATCTTCAACTCAGTTAGAGATAGCCTCAATTCAGTTGGAGATATTCTCAATTCACTGAGAGATATCTTCAGCTCTAGCCGTTACTGATATCCAAAATCAAATCAAAGATATCATTATTAATTTTGAAGATGTCTTTATATCAGATATATCGCTATTTACATTCAATATATCTTCAAAACAATTTAAGTTATCTGTCATTTCTCAAAACATTATCTCTATTTGAAATACATAAAAGATATTTCCAATACAATTCAATTAAGATGTCTTCAATTAATTAAAGATATCTGTATTTAATTGCAAGATATCAGAAATTGAATTACAGACCATAATTAAAACGCATGAATTTGTACATATCTTTAAATCCTATTCTGATATCATTAATCCAAAATAAGAAATCTGCTAATGTTTTCAAGATATCATTAATATGCTTCATCATATCCTTAATTTCGACCAGAGACGATCCGGGTTAGAATATTGGTCTTCAGCAACCAATGTTTGTCGGAAGAGGCGACTAACGAGATCGGGTGGTCAGGCTAGCTGACTTGGCTGACACATGTCATCGGTTCCCAATTGCGTAGATCGATGCTCATGATGTTGATCACTGGATTGTCTGGTCCAACCTCGATTATTTACAGACTACCGCCATATAGCTGGAATATTGTTGAGTGCGGCGTTAAACAACGAACCAGCCAACCAACCAAAAACCATATAATTAATTTCGCATATCTATTACGAATGTTATTGCAGATATCGATAATTATCTCTAGTTTATTTCCAGATATCTCTATTTTTATTCAATATGTCTTTCAAACAGTTTAAGATATCAGTAACTTAATAAATTTGAAAACGTCTTACCGTGATACGTTTACAAAATGGGCAATGATTTCTCCCCGCGAGAAATACTTCCGGTCACTTCCGGCAGCATGGAGAGCGAAGAAGAAACATCAACAAGCGAAAGCCGTGGCAAAATACGTATGTTTTTATTGATTAGTCTTCAGGTTGGGACTGATTATGTGATATTCGAGGCTTTTGAGTAATTCAACGCAATAACATATAGCTAACAGCTGAGGTACACTTTGTTGGAGTCAGTAGATCTGTATCGTCCTAATTTCGATCACCCAATTTGTGTCGTTGCTTCAAACAACAAATTGATGATGTTGTCATCTTTTAGTTATGCACAGTCATTTCCGTAATATGTTGACAGCCCATATGGTGGCAAGGGAGTTTTTCTACACCGTAAACACAGGGTATGATCCATGATCTCTCATGATCAGCTTGTCAAGTTAGTTACTCTCTAGCCGAGAGCCGCGATGCGGTCCTATACAGTCAAGACCGCATCGCGGCTCTCGGCTAGTTACTCTCAGTCACACCTACATTTGAAAGAAACTTTTAATTGATGTGTCTGTCAGAGATCAACAAGTCATTTGATCAACACCAAGTGCAAAAGTAAATAGAGTCGTATGATTGTCACATGTTGGTTACAAAGTGTGTACTTTGTGTTGATACTATATATACTTCACTCATGTAAAAAAGTATGGCTTGGATAGCCACATAAATGAATCAGTACAGGTACTAGAGGTAGCTATATGACTGAGCCATCTGGTTTGGGTTTGGTCGTTGTTAACGCTGCACTCAGCAATATTTCAGCCACATGGCAGCGGTCTGTAAATAATCCAGTCTGGACCAGACAATCTAGTGATCAACACTCGGCATGAACATCGGTCTACACAATTAGGATACGATGACATGTGTCAACCAAGTCAGCGAGCCTGACCACCCGATCCCGTTAGTCGCCTGTTATGACAAGCATGGGTTGTTGAAGACCCAGATTCTAACCCAAATCTTCACATTTTTTAATGGATAGGAAAATTGTGAGATCAATAATATCTTACTAAAACTATTGAGATGAAAGCTAGTTTCACTTCACCCACATAATACACAAAGTTATTTCTGTAGTCAAAGGTTGCTTCTAAAGTTGATGTTTCATATTTATTATGTCATCCTGATAAAGAGGTGTGAATGGACATCTGCAAGGGGAGATGGGAGGCCGTATCTAAGATATTGTTTTATTTCAGACACAGTAATATATGTTTAAAGGTATCAAAATACCCTAGAACATATATTGTGTCTGGAAAAAAGCAATATTTCTCTTGAAAAATCAAGGAATCTTTTTTCAAAAAATAGGAACCCTGTATTACTGACTGACTGAGTTTGGTTTTTATGCCGCTTTTAGCAATATTCCAGCAACATCACGACGGGGGACACCAGAAATGGGCTTCACACATTGTACCCATGTGGGGATTTGAACCCGGGTCTTCGGCGTCAGAACCCTGTATTAAGAACAAACACTTTTCCTCATCAGGTGTGAAGGGGAAGAAGAAGAAGGGCGGTGATGACTTGCTGGAGGTACCTGAAGGATGGAAGGAGCCCAAGTTCCAGCAGGATGACAATCCACATGGTGTTCTGGCAGAGAGCTCCTTCGCAACTCTCTTCCCAAAGTACAGGGAGAAGTACATCAGGGAGTGTTGGCCTCTGGTGAAGAAGACACTCTCAAACTATGTAAGGAGTTTATATTTTGGTGCCTACTTTTGTCATGTTTTAAAGCTGGGCACATATTAGGGACATTCTTTGCAATGCAATAAAGAAGATGGAAAAAATGACTTGAAATGAAGCCAATGTTTTATAGGAAAATAGTGTAAGATCCACTTAAGCTGGCGTGCAACTTCCAGTGCTACATGCTGTTCTTGATTGTGTTGATGACCCATGAAGATCCGGGTTAGACTTGATCTTCAGTAACCCATGCTTGTCCTAAGAGGCGACTAACAAGATCAGGTGGTCAGACTTGCTGGATTGTCTGGTCCAGACTCGATTTTTGACAGACCACTACTATGTATATTGCTGAGTGCCGCGTAAAACTCACTCACTCACACACTGTTCTATTGTTCGAGTTTCCATTGTTCACTGATCTGTCATTGACAGTTCTGGTTACTCTTGTATTAACAGTTCTTTTGTCTGTTGTGTTGACTGTTCTGTTGCCTGTTCTATTGTTGTCTGTAGGGATTTACAGAACGCATATTCCTGCGTCCTTTACGCAAAAAAATTGACAATGGGCGCAATGAAATTTATTAGCGCATCCACAGGGACGCAGAAAAAGTCAAAATACTTTTGTAAAATTTCCAATCAAGTAGCAATAAGCTATCACTGAGTTTGCAACTAGCTGAGTTATGGTATCATTTGCAATTTCATTACTGTAACAATTAATGTGATGATCATGATACACAATACAATAACAGTATTAGCAATAATATTTAAGTGTATCTGGCCCCCATTTTGTTGTCCAGGTCCCCTGAAAATTATAAGCAGGGACCCTCAAATACAGGACTCAAGGTAAATCTCTGTGTCTGTTTTGTTTGACCTTCTGGTTGTTGAATGTTCGATCCGCAGAACATCAAGGCAGAGCTGGATGTGGTTGAAGGAAGCATGAGTGTCCGGACTACACGCAAGATGTGGGACCCCTTCATGATAGTCAAGGCCCGAGACCTCATCAAACTTCTCAGTAGGAGTGTTCCCTATGAACAGGTAGGAACCATGATTGTCAAGTCCCACAACCCAGTCTGTCATCTTTCTAGAAGAGTTCTGTAGGAGCCTCTTGGAAACTAAGACAAGCTTTGAGCAAACCTGTGGATGTAGTTTTGGCGCTTTTGTGTAATACTCATTCTTATCAATGCTGCCTTTGTAATGCCATAACCTTAAAGACTTTGTATTCTGTAGGCGATGCGTGTTCTGGAAGATGACACATTCTGTGACATTATCAAGATCTCTTCGTTTGTTCAAAACAAGGAGAGGTTTATAAAGCGACGACAAAGGCTTATGGGTCCTGATGGCTCAACACTCAAGGTCTGTATGATATGTTTCTGATGTTGTGTGAAGGCAGGCTCCTTAGTTATTTCATTGAGGTCATACTGTGAATGTATTTCCCATCATTATTACAGTGTATGAAATAAGGCCCGTCCGACTGCCCGAGACGGTCTAGATTTCTGACGGACGGTCTACATTTACAGCTAGTCAGCCCGATGGTCTGGTAAAAATTTGAGATGTTCCATACATCTGAGTAAATTCACCATATTTGGTCTGGTTAAATCCATTTGGGGCAGGTAACATTTTGAAGTAGCCAGCCCTGATGTCTGGCTGGATTTGTGGCTTATTTCATACACTGATTATAACTGTCTGTTTTTGCATTGATAGGCCAGTCATCTATGGTGTTTCATTTTGCTATACAGAGTTGTGTCCCTTAGTTGGATCAGAATGATAGGGGTCATTACATCAGGAATTGAGATCCTTGCTTTGCACTGTATACTTGCTGTCCTTACCTGCACATGAGTACAATGTGTGAAGCCCATTTCTGGTGTCCCCTGCATGATGTTGCTGGAATATTGCTGAAAGTGGCGTAAAACTAAACTCACTCAACCATGTCATATACTGGCCACATAAAGAAACTGTGTACACAGCGTCTTGATACATAAATACAGGTGTGAACATGCCAGGTGATGTGACGTCATTGATGGTGGCCTATATACTTGCAATGTGTTACTGCACGTGCTGCCCGTGCAGCTGCACACAACAGATGTGAAACTCAGAAATTGCTGTCACTGTCGAAAGCTTGATCTTTGGTCATTTAAACGTTCACAAATCCACATGAGAAGTCACAATATGCACGTCCTGCCAAGATTAACATCTGCTCAACGTCATGAAGTCATTGGAATGGTTCGAGCAGGAATAAGCCAAAACAGGTGGCAGCACATTTCCAATGCCATCGTAACGCAATATCTGCATTGACCAGGCGTTATCGGAACAGTAATGACATCGCCGATCACCCACGTTCTGGCCGTCCCCGAGTAACGACGCCAAGACAGGAGAGATGGATTCAGGTGACGCATCTCAGACACGGTCCAGACGGCAGTGGCCACGTCCCAGACCAGTCCCCAGGCCTTCAATGCTCATTTGGTAGCCTCTATGCGTCGTCGATTCACTGCTGTGCTTCATGCACATGGTGGTCATACCCGTTATTGACTTTGTAACTTCGTCGTGTGACGCCGTACTCAATTTTGAACTTCTGATGTCATCATTACGGATTTTGTTCATGTTCTTTTGACATTATTTTGTGTTCCAATACTTCAGCTTATAAAGTGTCTACATCATCTCGCCTTTCCTGTGTTGTATTTCACTTCTGAAGGAATTTTCTGTGTGCACAGTTTCTTTATGTGGCTAGTATATTTGACTTGAGTAGATTTTTTCATATCATGTTTGTGTCAAATGTCAGTATTGTCATGTCATGTTTGTGTTGATATGTCAGTATTGTCATGTCATGTTTGTGTTGATATGTCAGTATTGTCATGTCATGACTGTCGATGTCAGTATTGTTATGTCATGTTTGTGTTGATATGTCAGTATTGTCATGTCATGTTTGTGTCAATAAGTCAGTATTGTCATGTCATGACTGTGTTGATGTCAGTATTGTCATGCCTTGTTTGTGTCAATATGTCAGTATTGTCATGTCATGTTTGCGTCAATATGTCAGTATTGTCATGTCATGACTGTGTTGATGTCAGTATTGTCATGCCATGTTTGTGTCAATATGTCAGTATTGTCATGTCATGTTTGCGTCAATATGTCAGTATTGTCATGTCATGACTGTTGATGTCAGTATTGTCATGCCATGTTTGTGTCAATATGTCAGTATTCTCATGTCATGTTTGCGTCAATATGTCAGTATTGTCATGTCATGACTGTGTTGATGTCAGTATTGTCATGCCATGTTTGTGCAATATGTTAGTATTATGTTTGCTGTCAATATGTCAGTATTGTCATGCTAGTGTCATAACTCTGTATGTTGCAGGCTATCGAGCTGCTGACCAACTGCTATGTTCTGGTACAAGGAAACACAGTGTCTGCCCTGGTTATTTAACTGAACAAAAAATATAACAGCACATAAAGGTCTAAGGGAGGTAAGTCTGGATGAACTCATTGAACAGAGCTTTACTCCAATGCACACATCTTTTCTGTAGATCTGAGGGACTAGAGGGTCTCAATATATGAATTCCGAGCAAACTTTCACTGACGAATCAAAATTTAACTTACATGGATTCTTGAGGCAATCAGATTTCATATTTTTGCTGTGTTTGTCATGTAATTTATAATAGCTTGATTTGAATTTTTAGTCAAATATAGCACTCAAATAACATAATATTCCTTTGATGGTTCTCAATGACATGGCGCTCAAACACTGTGTAAATGACACACAATGATATAATGTTCAGCTTTTATCAGTGACTTCTAGTTTTAGACATGGTCGCTTAATATGTGTCAAGATGAATTACTGAATTATAATGTGTTTTTAGGAATGCTTCGTAACAAACACTAAGAGAAACAGTGACCTTTTGTACTGATTTAGAAATGGTCACGTGAAATGCATATGGACTCTGATCCAGGTTCTATATTAATTGTGGTGGTGTCATGGACATGAGTTACCATGGTTACTTGAAAGTATTCCTGGAGGTGGCATTCTTCAAACATTGGCCAGTCAGATTCCTCACATTCAAGATAATATGTGAGTGATTGTCTGTCCATTACCCCTGTCAGCTTCCGGTTTTAAACACTCATATTGTATAATTTTACCGCTGAACTGTTGGGGATTAAGAATTTTGTAACATTTATTTTTACTGGAAGAATTCTTTGCAATGACTGTCAGTTAAACAAAGAAATCATTCAGTATCAAACATATGTAAATTGTGCTGCCAATTGAGGATCTGGTAGCCCAAAATGTTGGTTTTCTGCATGTAAACACCTCTCACACTGCAATTATCACACCTCGCATGCATCACTGACTTATTTACTCTCCACATAAGTTGTCCGGGACGAAGCTTTGACAACAGAATAAACACTTCAGAGTCGCCTGCTTTTCAGTTCTGATTTGTTAAAAGGGAGGTAACTCTTTGTGGACTATATCCATGTGGTACTGCTGTCAAAGCCAGCACTTGAAACCTGTCTGTGATACGTGATGAGTTTCACACGGTATATTACCCAGAAGGGCAAACACAGTTCTATAGCATATACTGTCTCACAAGGCACAGCTTGTGCATAACAGCATGCTTCAGTTTTGACATTGACACTTGCAGAATATCCCATATTGATCCCCATGCTGACTAGGGGTGGGCGATAATACCGGTTGACCGGTTTATTGCAATTCATACTTCACAATACAATATATTGCAGTACACTTTTTGCAAAACCAGTTTACCCAATACGATCAGCAATTTCCGTGACCATGACCGGTAATATTTGTGGTGTAGTAAACAATGCTAATAATATTTGTATTTCATTTATATTGTTATACATTAATAGTTTTGAGAATGTTTATTGGTCATATAATTGCATTTGTGTGACATTTAAACCATATAAATTTAAAAAATAGATTGGTACCGGCACTCATTGTAGGGACAAACAAACCGAAATGGCGGACACCCCTGCAGACACTTTTTGTCTAGTTCCAAAATTTAGAGGGAAGTCTTCAATTTGGAAACATTTTCAATTGATCTCTTGTACAATCACATCTGAGTCCTGACAGTGGCCATTGGCATTGTTTCAAAAGAAAGGAAACAGTTTCATTACCTTAAACCATGTTTTACACTTTCACAATATATCGCAATACGAAAATGATGACTGTTTTATATTACCTCACTTTCAAGAAATTAAAAAAAATTGGTACATCATCACCACTGTTCATATTGTAGTACGGAGTGTAGTGACAATTATATTTTTCAAAATTTTCTTTGAAGTTGATCTTCTTTATAATTAACCCATGAAGATACGGGTTAGAATTGATCTTCGGTAACCCATGCTTGTCGTAAGAGGCGACCGGCGGGATCGGGGTGGTCAGCCTCACTGACTTGGTTGACACATGTCATCGTATCCCAATTGAGTAGATCTGTTGATCACTGGATTGTCTGGTCCGGACTCGATTATTTACAGACTGCCACCATATAGCTTGAATATTGCTGGATTTCACGCTAAAAAAGCTGACTCGGAAAGTCGAGGTCTGGGTGAATCGTTGCAGCCCTATTGAACATATCTTTGCATTGTCAGCTACCATGTGGACATACTGATATGAGATGCCTGATATGCTAAGCTCAACTCACGGTATTTGTATTTCAGGTTAGAAAAATTGTAGAGGACACAATGAAAAACATTCACCCTATATACAATATAAAGGTGAGTAAACAGAGCTGTCCCTGTGGGCATGTTGAGTCAATACATTTATCAAGTTTACTTGAGGGTTAGATTTGGTCTTCAGCTATATCCCAATTGTGTGAAGAGATGTTTATTGCTGTTAATCAGACTCAACTATTTACAGACTAGTCACAGAGATGGAATAGTGATCAATGTGCTGTTAAGCAACAAACAAACAGAAAACATTTCTTAAAAATAATCATTATAATACCTTGTGTTGCATCAAGACTACAGGGGATCAGCCAATAGATTTGCTCTTACATTTCTGAAGAATAATCATCATAATACCTTGTGTTGCACCGAGACCACAGGGGATCAGCCAATAGATTTGCTGTTTAATTTCATCATTTTTTTTTTTCGTATAATATTTCTGCAATTTTTGGCAGCAACAATTTACTTTGAATGAGTGAGTGAGTTGGGTTTTATGCCTCTTTTAGCAATATCCCTGCAATAGCACAGGGGGACAACAGAATAGCATGACGAACAAACGCTTTAACCACTAGGCTACCCCACAACACTAACAACACTGTCAATGTAATATCAGTGTCGCTACAAAGAATTTCCTTTCCATTTGAGTGTAATTTGATTGGATGCTTCTTTTTAGTAGCAAAGTATATGTGTGATAGGAATTGGACGGGATGTTCATCACATCAAAACATTTCATAAAATATCCTGGGGTAGTCAAGGATTGACTGTGGTCAAAATAATGTCTGTTATAACCTGTGAAGATTTATCAACTTTACTTCTTTGTTAGATTAGTTTTAGTAAGATATTATTGATCACACAATTTTCATATCAACAAAAATATGTGAAGATCTGGGTTAGAATTGGTCTTCAGCAACCCATATTTGTCTTAAGAGGCGACTAAGGGGATCTGGTGGACAGGCTCGCTGACTTGGTTGACACATGTTATAGTATCTCAATTTTGTAGATAGATGCTCATGATGTTGATCACTGGATTGTCTGATCCTAAGTTGGAATGGGCCTGAAACTTCCTAGAGTAGTTGGAGGCAACTGATGTTCGTACCTAGTGATTGTTCCTCATGTTGTCAGTCTCTGATTTGACTGATCCAGCCTGAAATAACTGTCATGGTACTGGAATATTGCTCAGTTTGGTGTATTTGTTGTTAAATACAGCACACAGCAATATTCCAGCTATATGACAGCAGTCTATAAGCAATCCAATCTGGACCAGACAACCTAGTGGTTGATGTGATGAGCATGGATCTACAAATACCAATATACGATACGATGACATGTGTCAAGTCAGTGAGTCCGACCACCATGGGTTACTGAACACCAGTTCTAACCTGGTTCTTCATGGGTCGGAATATTACTGAGAGTAATTTCAAATTACAAACAAATAAAAATGCATGCATGTATGTTGGTGCAGACACTGATGATTAAGAGGGAGCTTGCAAAAGATCCAGCATTAAAAAATGAGAGCTGGGATCGGTTCCTGCCAAAGTTCAAAAAGAAAAATGTGAAGAGGAAAAAGCCGAAGAAAGTAAAGGCAAAGAAAGAATACACACCATTCCCTCCTCCACAACCAGAGAGCAAGGTAACTTTGAGCATCCTCTTTGCCACGTCAAGTGAACTGTGTAACATTGTATGTCCTTTTTGCCACATCTAGTGAACCTGTGTAACATTGTATGTCCTTTTTGCCACATATAGTGGACCTGTGTAACCTTGTATGTCCTTTTTGCAAAATCTAGTGAACCTGTGTAACGTTGTATGTCCTTTTCGCCACATCTAGTGAACCTGTGTAACGTTGTATGTCCTTTTTGCCACATCTAGTGAACCTGGTAACATTGTATGTCCTTTTTGCCACATCTAGTGAACCTGGTAACATTGTATGTCCTTTTTGCCACATCTAGTGAACCTGGTAACATTGTATGTCCTTTTTGCCACATCTAGTGAACCTGTGTAACATTGTATGTCCTTTTTGCCACATCTAGTGAACTGTGTAATGTATGTCCTTTTTGCCACATCCAGTGAACCTGGTAACATTGTATGTCCTTCTTGCCACATCTAGTGAACATGTGTAACATTGTATGTCCTTTTTGCCACATCTAGTGAACTGTGTAACGTATGTCCTTTTTGCCACATCTAGTGAACCTGGTAACATTGTATGTCCTTTTTGCCACATCTAGTGAACCTGGTAACATTGTATGTCCTTTTTGCCACATCTAGTGAACATGTGTAACATTGTATGTCCTTTTTGCCACATCTAGTGAACTGTGTAACATATGTCCTTTTTGCCACATCTAGTGAACTTGGTAACATTGTATATCCTTTTTGCCACATCTAGTGAACTGTGTAACATTGTATGTCCTCATTGCCACATCTAGTGAACTGTGTAACATTGTATGTCCTCATTGCCACATCTAGTGAACTGTGTAACATTGTATGTCCTCATTGCCACATCTAGTGAACTGTGTAACGTATGTCCTTTTAGCCACATCTAGTGAACTTGGTAACATTGTATATCCTTTTTGCCACATCTAGTGAACTGTGTAACATTGTATGTCCTCATTGCCACATCTAGTGAACTGTGTAACGTATGTCCTTTTTGCCACATCTAGTGAACTGTGTAACATTGTATATCCTCATTGCCACATCTAGTGAACTGTGTAACATTGTATGTCCTCATTGCCACATCTAGTGAACTTGGTAACATTGTACATTTTATTTGCAGATGGACAAGGAGCTTGCTAGCGGAGAGTACTTCCTCAAGGAGGATGAGAGGAAGATGAAGAAGGCCATGGAGAGGAAGGTCAGTTTGTTTTCTCCCCCAGTTGAGTTTCTGAGTCACTGGACTCAATTATTCCTTTGTCTTATAGCTCAAATGTTACTGAGTGTAATGTTAAACTACAAGCACACACATATCTTGTAGAGGACACTTTCAGGTGCATAGACAGTAAGTAGCTGGACAGTTAATGCTCTGTTGGGTTTGGAAAACCAATTATGTTACATGTATCATATTCCTCCTTGTGAACATGGCGATGTTCCGATGTTATGGCACGTGTTTTCAAGAGCGACAGTTTCTACTCGTATTAGGGGAGGCAACTGTATTCCTAACGTTTAATCAATTTAATTGTTTTGTTATTCCAGAGGGCTAGTGCTCAGTCGGGCAAGGAGAGTCAGATAGCCAAGAGGGCCAAGGCTTTTATTGCCCCAGAGGAACCAGTCAGCAAGGTGGTCAAGAAGGATACAACGAGCAAGTCAGGTAGTTACAGATGTCTCAGACGTTGGAGATAGTTTTCATTATTCATATCCTCCAGTTCAGAGACACCAGAGTTCATTTTACAGAGTTGTGTCCCTTTGGTGTAGAATAATCCTGTAAATTTGGATTCAAATCATATATTTGCCTTCACTTGGTGATCCTTGGTTGGCCAGCATCACACATGATTCAGCATGTGATAATAAGAATGATAATAATGTTACATCACTTTGAGTTTTGATCTAACATTAAGAGTGTATACTGCTGAATTGCTGAATCACTCTCTTTGAAATATGCTTGTCGAAAAAATTCCCCTGTGAAGATCCAGGTCAGGTTTGGTCTTCAGGAACGCATTCTTGCCGTAAGAGGCGACTAACGGGATCGGGTGGTCACACTCACCGATATGGTTGACATGCCACCATATCCCAGTTGTGTAGATCAATGCTCATGCTGTTGATCACTGGATTATCTGCAATTTGCTATTAGTGATTGAGTAAGTGAGTTTAGTTTCACGCAATATTCCAGCTATATGGTGGCTATATTGTCTGTAAATTATCGAGCCTGGACTAGACAATCCAGTGATCAACATCATGAGCATCGTTCTACGCAATGATGACAACATTCCTATTAAATCTGATTGTCATGAAACTCCTGATTATCAAAATTTAAATCATGGTCTGTGATCTCGAAAGTTGCTTGTATACTTAAGATCATTCTTATATGTTCACTACAGTGTTAAATGTTGACAAGCTGCATCTCTTGTGTTTTTTCCATGCATAGGAATCTTAACAAACTGTCACACTGATAAGTTTATGTTCAGTTCAGAAGCTATTCCAATTCAATTAATCCCAAGTTAAAATTCAAATGATAAATTAATGGATTTATGTTCAGTCTAGAATTCCATCCAATTCAATTAAACCCAGGTCAAAATTCAGATGATGATGTTTTTCAGCTGATGTTGATGTGGCTGCCCTCAAGAGGAAGATAAAGAAAGCCCAGGTCTGTTGTTGCCTTTCCAACTTTTTGCCAAAGACTAATTTGCATCATGATCAACATGGCCATGGGGAAAATTCAGGATCATTGATCTCAAATGTCAAACTTCGCCTTTCTATCCGATTATTGTTTTAGAATTTAACTGTAGTTTATAAACTTCCCTTGCAAAATACAAAGACAAATGTGTCCCAGTCCACCCAGCTGTGAATGGGTACCTCGTTAGGATGAGACAGCCACAATAGCTGGGTGCGCCTAGTGGCTGCAAGAGTTGTATACGCCCCAGGGAGTTGAGATTGATAATACGATGTGCCGTTGAGATTGACATCCAATGATCAAAGGAAAAAATACCAGCGCCTTGAGCATGCACTAGTTGCCTGGATATGTGCGCTGTATAAATATCCTATAATAATAATGTACAGTGTATATTGCATATGGTATATTTTCTCAGTCCAGAAAGAAGGTTTCCCTAATCAGCCTCCAGGAGGCACCAAGTCAACATTTATTTAGCTTCATTCTGGTAGTGCTGGAATGGTATAATTCCAGGAGACACTTAATGTATTATAAAGAATTTGACATGAGTTAAAGATTGTCAGAACTGACGTGTGTTTTTGAGCGAGTCTTCGGAGACTTGAAGGTTCATCCAAGGGAAGTAACTCTTTGTGTACTCTTTCTCTTGACGATGAATCAGCCTGTTGGCTGCTTGCAACTTATTCCTGTAAAATCATTACCAGAAAGCCAGAGATTGTCAATCACACACCAGTATATCTGAAACTAACAATTCCTAACAGAAAGTTAACAATTCCTAACCATAACTATCTGGAGGTACCAGACCTACTGTTGTTAAAGTAACAATCCTGTCAGAAAAGGGAAGGTCTATCAGACTGGCACTGGCCCCATCAGAGAGGTTGGTTGGTTTTGTTTAACGCTGCACTCGGCAATATTCCAGCTCTATGGCGGCGGTCTGTAAATAATCGAGTCCAGACAATCCCGTGATTAACAGCATGAGCATCAATCTACTCAGTTGGGATACGATGACATGTGTCAACCAACTCAGCGAGCCTGACCACCCTATCTCGTTAGTTGCCTCTTACGACAAGCATGGGTTACTGAAGACCAATTCTGACCATCAGAGAGAAACCAGCCCTATCAGAAAGTAACAGTTCCCAGCAGAAAACTATCCGAAATGGTACCTAAAACACTGTACACAAAACCTCTCTGAAATACTTTGAAGCACTAGATGTTTAAAGCTTAGATGCAACCAACAAAATAAACATAATAAAACACAATTATCATTTGTTCATGACATATAATATGCATTGCTGATTATGAAAAAACAAAGAAACAAAATTATAAGCGTACAATTGCAAATCAAAAGTGCAAAACTTGGGTTTACTACCTTCAAAACGAAGCCCCCGGGATACCGAACCCAGTCAGAGCTGGTGGGCGTGCACTTAAGTGTAATGAAGTCTTTCATTGGCTGGTTCAATAGCAGATACACTCAGGGCTCTTTGTGTGTGTATAGGCATCCCAGCTCAAGCCGCGTGAACCTATTCACTGTGCATGCGCTATGTTGAAACCACTTTTCACCCCAGCTGGGTTTTTTCAATTTTAGTGCATCGCCTTTGAACTCAGATTTCGTGGGATCTTTTTCATCCCGTTATTTTTCAACTTTATAAGTTGAATTTGCATTTTTGATAATTTGTTACTGTAAGTTCATTCTGAAAGGTATCAGAATCTGCAAAGTTGTCATTTGTGTTGCATGTAAGCTTTAAACATGTTTTTCAACAGTGTGACAGTGGATCACAGGTATAGACAAAACATGCTGATGTAAAATTGGATTATCTTCTCTTTTTTCAGAAAAAGAAGATATCCTGAAAAATGGCATTGAAACATTGTGGTGACATATGGTGTAAAACAACTGTCCGACAGTGCTGGAACCATCAGTGTTTGACCAGTAAAGTGATGGACATGACAACCATTCATGCCCTGAGGATCCCACAAAAGTTGTCCTGGGAGTGTATATGTTCATATGTCATGAAATCACTGTGTTGAAATTATTTTGTCCTTATTTACCATGTTTCAAAACAGTTGTTTGAAGACTTCAGAACATTACTTCAAGAAAAGTTTTTTTGAGATGACAGTGTGCTAGTAATTGGGAGTTATCTCCCCTTTGCTGCCACCAGATGGCGAGAAGGAACATCTCAGGAGCAGCACTAACCGCGTCCTCTTAATCCATTTCATCAAAGTCTAGTAGGATGTCCTCGAACATTGATTAGCCAATTAGGATGCATTAACATGGACCCTGTTATCGAGGTTTTAGGAAACTTTTGAAACACAACATATGGCTTGTCCTTCATATTGAGGTAGCCTCGTAGTTTAAAACTCTTGACAGTCAGGGGGAATATGGGGTTTGAATCCCCTCTGGGTACAGATAACTATTTCTGGTGTAATTGATTGCATATAGTGGCGTAAAACTCTATTCATTCACCCATTCATTCTTATTGCTAAGGGAATTTAATTCATACTGCTAAATTGACAGAAATGATATGGTCTTGCTTTGACTTGGAAAACTGGCTTTCCTACAGATCACTGTTTATTAATTTCAAGGGTTCAAGGTAAAATGAGGGCACTTTAAAGTAATAAAATGATGTGATGTACTATATTGTACGGAAAGGTGAGATTGAATAATTATTTTAATTAGAGGAACTGTTTCTTGTCTTAATTGGGTACAATTAAAATTCTTTTCTGCCAGGTTTCAAGGAAACATGAGGGTCCTCTTAAGTAATGAAATGATGTGCTATATTGAACGGAAATGTGAGATTGAATAATTACTATAATTAGAGGAACTATTTCTTGTCTTAATTTGGTACAATTAAAATGATTCTTTTCTGCCTCCATTCCATAAATGACCTGGTTGAAACCCAGTATGATGATGACTTGCCAGTATTTAAACAAAACAGAATAAGCAAACATGATTTTAAAAATGCCTCATACCATTAATCACCAGTGACTGGAAATGTAAATCTGACCCTTCCTGATACTTTTTGCTCCTGTATATGCTGTAATGGAAGATTATGGCAAGCTAATATGTTTGTACAGAATAAAACTATCCATCTTTTTAATAAACATAACAGGGCGAGTGTTTTGATTTATGAGTTTTCGCAGTCTTTAATTCCTCAATGTGATTGAGAGATGTGTTTCAACTGATGATGGAGCGTCAGTGCAGTATTTTCGTGCCTACGATGAAATAATACATGTAATTTGATGCGTCCGAGTGACAACAGAATTATAATGCCCTTTGTTGATGACAACAGTGACGTAGGCAGTGAGTTGATGTGGTACAGTGTTATGGATTTAACTCATCTGGCCAGTTGCCAAATTGTGCCAGAATCGGATGATTGTTCACTCTGTTTATGGTTTAGTTCCCAATATCTCGGACTTTCTGATACCTGGGTGGTGAGTGTGTGAGTCAGTATATTCCATCAATATCACACAAGGGACGCCAGAAATGGGCTTCACACATTGTACACATGTGGGTATTCGAACCCGGATTCCACCTGACGAGCAAACGCTTTGACCATTAGGCTACGCCACAGTTCCGAGTCGACACATCATGTTATATATGATTTTTGTCAAATGGACAACAGGGTGCCATTGTACAAAGCAACCTTAACGCTACGACCCTCGTAAGTTACGACAATTGCGCAGATCGATGCTCATGCTGTTGATCACTGGATTGTCTGGTCCAGACTCGATTATTTACAGACCGCTGCCATATAGCTGGAATATTGCTGAATGTGGCGTAAAGCTAAACTCACTCACTCACTCGTAAGTTACGGTACCGGATTTACGATAGCATTGGCACTACGACCACACCGTACAACGACACCCAGAATGTACTAGCTGACTCGTATGGTCATTTACTTGGGGTGAATGGCAGCACATATCCATCTTGTTATAGACTCATCTCGGCTCTCACAAAGGTAATTAATTAGATCTCGACAGTCTGCCCCCAGGCTGTATGAAGATGACCATTGCTGTAAACATTGACGTTAAAACGTTAAAGCAGATATCAACAATCAGCAACAGATAATTCTATGTCGAAAATCGAAAGTGGGAGACTTGTAATGCCTAATCGGCAGTTGGCACGATGCAGTGAGACGCGTGTATATAGAATGGTAACAGTTTCACCTCCACCTTTGAGTACTGCTGCTGACGATGAGAATGGAGCTGATGCAGTTTCTGGGATGGGAGACGCAAGACTAAATATATAGATCCCCCATACCTGTTCTAGTGTATGTCTGGCAGGGTGGTACACATTCAAACCGTTTTAGCATAAGATCAGAATTGATCACGGTGCGTGTATGTGTGTGAGAAGAGACAGAGGTACCCAGTACTCGATATTCCTGGTCAAAGAAGTCACATGCTGGTCTGTCTGTATTCCAGGGCCGAGAGGTTCCCAGAATTCCGCTGGTGTATCTGTATTCCAGGGCAGAGAGGTTCCAAGGACCCCATGCTGGTCAATCTGTATTCCAGGGCCGAGAGGTTCCCAGAATTCCGCTGGTGTATCTGTATTCCAGGGCAGAGAGGTTCCCAGAATTCCGCTGGTGTATCTGTATTCCAGGGCAGAGAGGTTCCAAGGACTCCATACTGGTATATCTGTATTCCAGAGCAGAGAGGTTCCCAGAATTCCGCTGGTGTATCTGTATTCCAGGGCAGAGAGGTTCCCAGAATTCCGCTGGTGTATCTGTATTCCAGGGCAGAGAGGTTCCCAGAATTCCGCTGGTGTATCTGTATTCCAGGGCAGAGAGGTTCCCAGAATTCCGCTGGTGTATCTGTATTCCAGGGCAGAGAGAGGTTCCAAGGAGGTTCCATACTGGTGGTATCTGTATTCCAGAGCAGAGAGGTTCCCAGAATTCCGCTGGTGTATCTGTATTCCAGGGCAGAGAGGTTCCCAGAATTCCGCTGGTGTATCTGTATTCCAGGGCAGAGAGGTTCCAAGGACTCCATACTGGTATATCTGTATTCCAGAGCAGAGAGGTTCCCAGAATTCCGCTGGTGTATCTGTATTCCAGGGCAGAGAGGTTCCCAGAATTCCGCTGGTGTATCCGTATTCCAGGACCGAGAGGTTCCCAGACTTCCGCTGGTGTATCTGTATTCCAGGGCAGAGAGGTTCCAAGGACTCCATGCTGGTCAATCTGTATTCCAGGGCAGAGAGGTTCCCAGAATTCCGCTGGTGTATCTGTATTCCAGGGCCGAGAGGTTCCCAGAATTCCGCTGGTGTATCTGTATTCCAGGACCGAGAGGTTCCCAGACTTCCGCTGGTGTATCTGTATTCCAGGGCCGAGAGGTTCCAAGGACTCAATGCTGGTCAATCTGTATTCCAGGGCAGAGAGGTTCCCAGAATTCCGCTGGTGTATCTGTATTCCAGGACCGAGAGGTTCCCAGACTTCCGCTGGTGTATCTGTATTCCAGGGCCGAGAGGTTCCAAGGACTCAATGCTAGTATTCCGGGTCAGAGTGGTCCCCAGCAGTCAAAATGCTTTCCAGAATAAATGAAACTTTAATAACATTCTGTGTCATGTGATCATATACCTGGTATACTTTCACTTTTATGTATCTTTTGTGCACCGGATATTTTTTCCGGATAACTATTTTGTATGCTTATAACATTGGGGTATGCCTCATATCATGGACACATGTATCAGTTAAATAATACATCAGTGTATGAAATATGCCAAAATTTCAGCCAGACATCAGGGCTGGTAACTTTAAAATGTTACCAACCCCAAATGGATTTAACCAGACCAAATATGGTGAATTTACTCAGATGAATGGAACATCTAAAATATTTATCAGACCATCGGGCTGACTATAGTCTGTTTGCAGTGAAAACGTTACGATCAATTTCACTTTAAACAACAAAGTAAATCAAATTAAGTGAAATTAAGATTGCGAATCCTCATAATTTTACCTTGCCATTTGAACATTTAAATCTCAGAATTTTATTCAACTTAGGATAGAGGTTGTTTAACAAACGATCATAGATTCAAATCGCTATTATTGGTTTGTATTATAGGGGGTAAGCGCAGTAGATGGAACAGTGAAACAAATGCACGTGCTGTACCTGATGAGCGTTAACTTAGACCAGCCCTACTTGTTCTCGGTGTTTCATCTAATGTGTATACCCCCTTGTAATACAAACCAATAATAGCGATTTGAAACTATGATCGTTTGTTAAACAACTTGCTTGAATATTGCTAAAAGCGACGTTCAGCCATACTCACTCACTCACTCTTCACTGATCAAACGGTCAGGAGACAGGTGCAGATTGGTCACTCATTCCTCTCGAAATCTTCGCTTATTCACGTAAGGTGATTAGTGACTCTCCGCTTGCACTCAGATAACTGTAGAATGTAACAGTTAAGCATCTGGATGTTCCCATCTAACAGCTGTGCCCGTTGCGCCAAGATGACATGGCAGTGTAGAGGAGGACAAGCGTCAAGGGATGCCTCACACTGACAGGGAGGACTGGTGATATCCTTCTGTGGAGTAAATGTGCTCAATGAAGAAGACGGCAATATCGCAGCTGTCGTCTCCGTGAATAACAGAGCGACGGGTTCCTGTTAAACCTTACCAAACTATCAAGTACTTGGCACTGTGCTGACACGTGAAGTCGCGAATCAGAGAAGGGAACGGAAAATAATGCAATTGTATGGACAAAATTGACAGCATCTTTGGGACACGCAAAATGTAATGGCGAAAGGAGAAAACAAATCATACTTTGTCTGAAACCATTTTATTTTCGTTTCCCAAACCCCAGACCCTAGAGCATATATTAAACAGCTAAAGTCTAGAATGACTAGGCAAGTCTTCATTTGCAACACTATTCGTCATATGTGTGGTTACGACACTATGTGGTCAAGGGTTACGTTAAACGTATCAGACACTGTGTCGTCAAGGGTTACGTTAGTCTATCTGGCACTGTGTAGTCAAGGGTTACGTTAGTCTATCTGGCACTGTGTAGTCAAGGGTTACGTTAGTCTATCTGGCACTGTGTCGTCAAGGGTTACGTTAGTCTATCTTGCATTGTGTCGTCAAGGGTTGCGTTAGTATATCTGACACTGTGTAGTCAAGGGTTACGTTAGTCTATCTGGCACTGTGTAGTCAAGGGTTACGTTAGTCTATCTGGCATTGTGTCGTCAAGGGTTACGTTAGTCTATCTGGCACTGTGTAGTCAAGGGTTACGTTAGTCTGTCTGGGACTGTGTCGTCAAGGGTTGCGTTAGTCTATCTGACAGTGTGTCGTCAAGGGTTACGTTAGTCTATCTGGCACTGTGTAGTCAAGGGTTACGTGAGTCTATCTGGCACTGTGTCGTCAAGGGTTACGTCGTAGTCTATCTGGCACTGTGTCGTCAAGGGTTACGTTAGTCTATCTGGCACTGTGTAGTCAAGGGTTACGTTAGTCTATCTGGCACTGTGTCGTCAAGGGTTACGTTAGTCTATCTGGCACTGTGTCGTCAAGGGTTACGTTAGTCTATCTGGCACTGTGTCGTCAAGGGTTACGTTAGTCTATCTGGCACTGTGTCGTCAAGGGTTACGTTAGTCTATCTGGCACTGTGTCGTCAAGGGTTACGTTAGTCTATCTGGCATTGTGTCGTCAAGGGTTACGTTAGTCTATCTGGCACTGTGTCGTGAAGGGTTACGTTAGTCTATCTGGCACTGTGTCGTCAAGGGTTACGTTAGTCTATCTGGCACTGTGTTCGTCAAGGGTGTACGTTAGTCTATCTGGCACTGGGTAGTCAAGGGTTTAGTTAGTCTATCTGACACTATGTCGTCAAGGGTTACGTCAGGGTTACTATGGGCATGCGTCGTCAAGGTTACAAATGGCATAACTAACACTGTATTATTGTCAAAGGTGACATAGGGCAATCTGATACGTTTGTTAAAAGTGACTGAAATTCTTGATCGTTAAAATCAATTTAAAAAAAATTAAAAACGTTTTGATTTCTGACGTGTTTCTTTGCTCCCTTTGGTATCAGGACATGTCTCCAATACAGGCTCTTGCGTGAGATCTGAACAAATGATAATACGGTCCATGTAAACATCTGGTAAAAAACTTAAGCCGCACTTACAATATGT